CTTTACAGACATGCTGAAGAATGAAAACAAGAAGAAGTCATTTCACAAATAGAGAATGAAAAGGTTATTGAGAAGAGAGAACTGTGAGGACTTTCTTATCTCAGAAGCTTGCAGAGTCTTTGCAAGGTTGAAACAGATATTCACAGATACAGTGATACTGTTTCACTTTAATCTCTTACTCTTAATCAGATTGAAGACAGATGTCTTCTTCTTTACAATTTCAGAAATAGTCTTATAACTACAGCTAAATGAGAACTGGGTTTCAGTGATCTTTTTCTCATAGAAGATACAACCTGTGGAGATTAACTATAATATTTATAATCAGAAGCTTCTCACAATAGTGAAATTCTTCTGTCACTGATATCACTACTTCAAGAGCCTTGTAACAGTGATTACTGTTAGAACTGATCATGACAGCTTACAACAGTTTGCTTCAATCAAGGAACTCTCACAGTAGTAGGTTTGCTGAGCTCAGAGACTGAGTGAGTTCTGATTCAAGATAGAATATATTAAGAGAATTAAGAACTCAGTGAATGAACTCTCTTACAGGCCAGACTATATTAAGAAGACCAGAGTGACAGACACAGAGAGACTAGAGAAGACAGAAAAGCTTCACAGAATACTCAGACTGAGTGTTGTAAAGAGATTGACTGAAGAGTCTTCTAATTCTCTGTGAGAGAAGAGAGAAAAGAAAGAGAAGAAGTCTGTATAACTACTCTCTATAACACTGAGAGTCAACACTCTGAGAATCTCTGTGAGAATTCTTGAAGAGAATATCTATAATCTGAAGAGTTTGCAGGCTTTGAGAAGCATTATGAAAGACCTGATGTAAGAGAAAACAGAGTATAAGTCTTTGCAAGATCTTCTATTCAGATTGTCTGAACTACAACTGAAGAATGAATATACTCAGTATATTCAGAAACTGCTTATAGCAGGGATCAATTCTGCAGAAATAAAGAATTGAAGAGACTTAAATAATCTCTTATAAAGAGAGAACTGAATTTATGTACCTATGAATGAGTTTCTACATGTAGAACTTATCAAAAGACATCATGACTTTTCTCTAGAGATTATTTTACAGATATTAGAACTTATAAGTTACTTATAAGAAAATACTTCTGACTGAAGATGTGAGAACTTATGAAGAAGATAGTGAATTCTTATACTGTTTATCAGGATTTGTGAATAGTGCAGTTCAGATTATATGAAGAACTTACTTCTCTATTCATCTCACAGAAACCTTGAAAACAGCTGAAAATAAACATTCTTATAAGTCTTTCTGAAAGTAAGAATATATATGATACCTGCTTTAACAGTGTACTGATAATAGTGAATTACTTTATTAAGATAGCACACTTTATACTCATCTGTAAGAACTTGAAGTCAAAGAATTTGACTCATATCTTCATCTGTGATGTGATTCAGTTGTATGAATTATCTGTGAATATTATCTCAGACAGAGAATCAATCTTTGTAGAAGAGTTCTGATCTGATCTGATAACTATACTGAAGATCTTATAAGATCTAAGCACAGCTTTTCATCAACAGACAGATGATCAGATAGAATATCTAATGAGTATATTGAAACAGTATCTGCAATGCTTTGTTAATTATAATCAGAATGACTGAGTGCATTGATTATCACTTACAGAGTTTATATACAACAACTCAAAGTATGTCAGTATAGATAAAACTCTTTTTGAGATGCTCACTGAGACTTATCTACAGATGATCTTGATGAACCTGTGAGAGTATACTATAGAGTGTGATAATACCTGTGAATGAGCTGAGAGAATTCAGAAGATCTGGGAGAAAGCCTGTAAATTCTTGAGAAAGGCTCAAGAGTATCAGAAGAGATATTATGACTTTAAGCATATTATAAAGAGTTTCAAGAAAGATGATAGAGTCTGACTGAGTCTAGAAAATATCATTATATAGAGATCTAGTAAGAAGCTGAATCTCTTACAGACAGAGTCTTGTAAGATTGTGAAGAAAGTTAACTCATAGTTCTACAGATTGAAACTGTTACCTGAGTTGTAGATATATAATATTTTTCATGTCTCTTTGCTCTGTGAATATAAGAAATTCTCAGAAAAGAATTCTGTGACTTATCACTCTATCTATGAAGTACTAGAGAGTGAAAGAGAATATCAGATTAAAGAGATTATTGACTCAGAGAAGTGAGATTGCAAGCTCTGATTCAAGATTCAGTGATAAGAGTATTCTGACAAGATGAATAAGTTCACTTAAGAACTATCTGAGTAGATAAGACATCTGCAGAAGCTGAGACATGACTTTCATACTATAAATCCTGATAAGTCAGAATGACACAGTCTTCACTAAGAATCTGATTGTAACAAAGATATTAACACTGTTATTTATAAATTCTAGTCTATAAGATAATGAGTTTCTACTGAGATGAACAGTCTGCAGTGTATATAAGAGAAGAAGAAAACATGTTCTCATTAAAGCTAAAAAACAAGAAAATAAACAGAGCTATGAATACAATTTAGAGATTAATAAAGAAAAAATAAAGAAAACTCATACTCATATTATTAATATCTATAATACTCAATTTCTTCACAACTATCAATTTTCTTCTTCAAAGAAGCAGAAAGTATTATACTCACAGTACAGACAATTGTTGCATTTGATATGAAGACTGTCAGAAATGCACAGACTTCAGAGAAGTTAGATATCAGAGTATACACAGTTGTAACAGAGTCTTGAAGACTGATCATCTGTGTATGTAATCAGATATCTCTTATAAAGCTGTGTCTGCTCTCTCAGTTGTGCTGAAGTATTCAGCTCAGAAATAATGAGAATATGAAGAGAAAGCTCATCTGCTCAGATTAACTTCTATCACAAATTCATAACATTTGCATTATCTTGACTACTCAGATTTTGCAGGTATCTGAGAACTCATCTCTCATTGACAATGAGATTGCAGAAATGCATCACAGTGCAAGAATCATTAGTAGAAAATCTAGACATATTTGTATATGCCTGGTCAGAGATTGTATGAGTAGAGAAGAAGTGATTGTAGACTCATGAGACTGCAGAAGATACTGATAACATCAGAAGCTTTGTAAGAACTGTTAGCTAGAGTCTGTAAGAAATTACTTATGAGAAGACTTACAGTAAAGAAGAGGACTGCACTACTTAAAGTCAGAAACTGGTCTGAGAAAGAGATGAGATGAGTCACTGGTCTGAAGATCAGATGCAGTGACAGGGCTGGAAGAAGTGAAGACATGATTATAAATAACAGTGCCCCTGCTTCATCAGTCAGTAAAAAGTAATCAGAGAAGTTATGAGAACATCTACAAGAAGCTCAGTAGCAGCCAGACATTGTTTATAAAGATATTGAAATTGAAAAAATTTTTATTCTTGAGAAGTTCTTGAATCAATATATGAATATTGTCAGAAACACTCTCTCTCTGTCATCTGAGTGAAAACACTTCACAGATGAATGAGAATACTCACAGTTTATAAGAATGAAAGCTGTTATAGAAAAAGAAAAAAGAAGATGAGATTCTGTGAACAGATCTGAAGTATTTATACTACTCTAGAGAGATTTGCTTACACTGTGAATGATTCTGCAGAACAGTCAGATCACTCTAGTAAATAAGAGTGATTATGAATTACAGGTCTGAATCTTTCTATATAACTATAAAGAGTGATTGCAGACTGCAGACATCTTGATTCTATAATTCTACAGAGTTAATAAAAGAATGAAAAATTCCTCACAATTCTACAGTGTTAAAGAGCAATGATTTGTAAGAATGAATGAAAGATTAACTCATAAATGTTTCTCTTTGATGAGAGTGATCTCACAGAGAGTGATTCATCTATGAGATAAATCTATATAATGATCACACAAGAATCTCATGAAAATAATTAAGAGTCAACTGAAATCCTTCTGTATGAAAGATGTGAGATGAATCTGTATGATAGTCAGAGAAGAATCTGTAGATTACAAAGAATCTTGCAGAATAAGAAACTGAGTGACAGACTCTTTTCTCTTTATAATAACAAGAGATTTTTCCTCACTGAGGTTTTTTACAGATATAAAGGATTTTTAGTGAGTATCACTGCAGTGCTGAGCTGACTATGAAGTCACTCAGTGAAAGGCTTCACAGACAAAGTCTTAGAGAGAGAAGAATATGTAAGAAATCCCACTTCTCACAGATTCTTTATTCCTATTCCTATCTCTCATGTAATCAATAGGGCTAGCAGCCCTTGGCTACACACAACTATATAGACTGGAGTTCGCGAATACTATTCACAACTCAGCTTGAATGCTATTATACACTTGATCTCTACATTTATCTTTCTACTGTGAACACTTCTAGTAGTTAACAGTACATATCACACCGAGCTGCAAACACCTGAATAATCGCCTGCGAGCACTTATTCTTACATAAATCTATCTACGCGAGTTACACTAAATGAATAGGTTGGGGTGGCACATGACTAGGGTAGGTGTAGTAATCACCAACAAAACAGGAGCCAGTTAATAATTTTGAACACTCTTGTTACGTCTTTCAAAACCAATTTGAATATTGTTGCCCATGTTGCCCATGAAATTTCACGACTGATCCGCAACCAATTGATGTTGCTAATTTGATGTTGCTAATTTGATGTATATAATGCTCAATGGAAGGCAGTGATGTTCAGTATTATCTCTTCGAGTAGTTCCAATCTATCTGATGAATATAGAGACAAAAAGAAAGAGTAAATAAGTGG